CCCATTGACGAGGAGTTAGGTAGAGGACATGGACATTATGATATCATATGGAGATGTAGAAAGCGGAAAGAAAAAGGGGATGTTTGGGAAGTTCGCCTCCTCCTCCTTCTTCTTCTTCTTCTTCTTCTTCTTCTTCTTCTTCTTCTTCTTCTTCTTCTTCTTCTTCTTCTTCTTCTTCTTCTTCTTCTACACTAACTGTTGTATTGTATCAGACATAGTGTTAGCTGCAGCCGAGCAGCTGTAATAATAATTATAGTAGTATTAATAGTAGCAACAGCAACAGCAGTAGTAGTAATAATAGTAGTAGCAGCAGTAGTAGTAGTAGTAGTTAGGGGCGGCTCGTGGGGCTAAAAAGTGGGCGTGCACAATTAAGCAACAGCACTAGGTTGAAGACAGTCAAGGGCATAGTAAACAGGATGCTAGGATCCTTGGGTTGGTGGAGGAGGACGTTATGCTCTTATTTTCATTCTTCTTACTGGTCACTTTGATTTTTAGAACTAAATCTGTTTGTTAGCTAAACATCAATTTCTTTATCCTGCATTGGAACTAAACACTCAAGTAATAACTTTCATCACCCCACTACAAAACCATTCGAAAGCACATCTCGTAGGACGGTGACTTAAGTTTGTCACGTTCACCTCCCTCAGGTTCACGGTCACGGAGTCGCTTAAAATGGTGGCAAGACAATGAATCAATCACAATGCACTTGAGCACTCGGCTGGATTGCTCCAGGGATCGCATAATTTTGGCGTAGAATAGTGTACAGGCTATCGCGTTTATTTTTATACAGCGTACTGTGGGCTATGTTTCGCAGGTGCACATTTGAGATGTGCCGTCTTATTAATATTAATGTACCACCGAACTCGCTACGAGTGTCGTCATCTCTTGGGTTATCCCAAAGAGCGATTTATAGGTCAGATTGCCACTATTGAATATCCTATTACGTTTAGTTAAAGCGCGTGGACTTTGGCATGGCATAGTTGTTTTTTTTACAGCGCTTTTGACACTATAAATGACAGTTACCTGCGAGGACCTTGTTTCGATACTATATTTGACTAGTGTTTGTTTCTGACTTCTTTAATTTCAAGTGTTTGGGTGCTTTTCGTAATAGAACATAAAACAATTTTTGGGCGTCACTGCACGGCCGTGCTCTATGGACGAACCGTGCCTAGTAGTAGTAGTAGTAGTAGTAGCAGCAGCAGCAGCAGCAGCAGCAG